CAAGGTTATGTAAGTTATGTTATAATATTCTTGAATGTAATCAAAGTTATTTTTTTTATTTAATGATTGATTACTATACACAATTTTATTCTGTACATACCATCAACAAAAAACATTCTTGATTCTATCTACAGTGGATAAAAGAATTAATTTAAGCAATTCATCATAAATCTACTTCTTATAAAGTATTGGTAATTCAATACTTTTGTTTTGTATTAGTTGATAAAACTCTGACAGTGATATTTAATGTTCCTTCAAACATAAAACAGTCCTATATAAAATTTTGATAAAGTTGCGGCCCGCCATTNTATTCAGGAAAATATTAACTAGATTATTATAGGTTCTATTATTAATAATAGGTCCTACTATTAAGTAATTATTATAGGTTGTTAAAGGTGTGGATATTTATTATTATTATATCTACTTTATTTCGATTTCAGAAAATAAAAAGAGAATAATCCTCTTTTTGATTATCAATAAATTTTTTTACATATAAAATGTTAATTAAGTCGAGAACTATCAATGTTTCAAACAACAAAAAGATAGTATGTTCTTATAAGGTACTTAGTAATATTTTTTTAAATAAAGAGACACATAACAAAACCGAAATTAGTTATTTTAGTTATACTTTTATCATTTTATACTTACGTCGTAAAATTTTATTTGTATGCATTGTTTAAAACAAATTATTACTGCATAGCATACAAACTAGAAGCTCAAATTGTGGAGCATTAACAATATTCATATTTATTTTAAAAATGAAACAAAATATTTTGTTTTATCAGAAAAATTATAAATTATGAGTAACCATAAAAAAGTTATGCAAACGATGAATTGTATACCCTTGTGTATTTATATATGGGTGATTCTCACGAAATATGACAATTTACAGTCTCTTGGTCCAAGATCTAATACTATAATACTAAAAGAACTTTTTTTTAAAATTTTAATCAATAGCATTGCTGTAAGTATTTTAAAATTACCTTGCATTAGCATTAAATGTTTTGCATATTTAAAAAATTTTATTGAATTTCAAAATGTCATTTTCCTGGTATGTCACAAACAATATTTCCAATAATAACTAGCTTCAAAACTTCTCGTAAATTTTTCAATATCTATTTTTTTAATCTCAACCGTTGTAAGCATTTCTAGAATATTTTTAGAGGGTATTACTTACAAAAACTTTGTTGAAAATAATTTTTTCTGTCAATAATTTGTTTGTCACAAAAAAATCTATCATTTTCCTGGCTACTTTTATTTAGTGATTTATAACCAAAATAGATAGCACCAGATAATAGATTGATTAGAATACCATCCAATCTGAACATGTCTTATTGCATGAATAAAGAACCAACTTTCTGGTTCAAAACCTATTTCAAAAATGTTTTCGAGGTGAGTAGATTTTTTTATGTTGTCATTTTCCTGTCTTCTTGAAATCATTAATAACATAAACTACATAGATTTACTTGAGTTATTTCAAGACATCCTGTTGTTTTCTGTGGAATGTAAACATCTTCGGCCGAAATGTTAAATTGAAGTAAAGCTAATGCTATATAATGGCAAATTGTCATTATCCTGACTGTCATTTTCCTGGTTTATGAATGCCAGGACATTGAAATAAATACTAAAAAAATTTTTAAACAGTTGAATGTAAAGAGAGAAAGCAAATATTAACCTATTACCAAGGTTATGTAAGTTATGTTATAATATTCTTGAATGTAATCAAAGTTTTTTTTTTATTTAATGATTGATTACTATACACAATTTTATTCTGTACATACCATCAACAAAAAACATTCTTGATTCTATCTACAGTGGATAAAAGAATTAATTTAAGCAATTCATCATAAATCTACTTCTTATTTTAATTGGTAATTCAATACTTTTGTTTTGTATTAGTTGATAAAACTCTGACAGTGATATTTAATGTTCCTTCAAACATAAAAGAGTCCTACATAAAATTTTGATGAAGTTGCGGCCAGCCATTTGACTGGTGTTTTTAATTGCGGTCCCCCGGCCTCATGTAAGTTGGAAACCCCTGGTCTAGCTGTTGCACAGGCAGAATTACTTTAATTTCAATTTCAACTATTTTCAAGATATGCCCGCGATATTGTCAAAGTTCTTTATGTATTAGTTATAATTCAAAATTAGATTGGCAGCGTATAAATTACACTAACCACCATAAGTATGAATTCGGGACATTTCACTACATTTGGCAGCAGAAGTATTTCCATCTCTGTCCTGAGACAAGATTGAAAAATCATCCCAATGCTGCATTACGTGCTGTACTACTTCCTCACGCACCTCTCGAGCAATAGCTTGAGTATTGTGTATGTTATTTTGTTTTATTTTATAACCGTCGTTCAACAGCCGAACCAATTTTTTGGGTTTCCGACTACTATAACTTAACGTATTACGTAACTTAAAATATCATCTGAAACTTATTAATTAGCATATTTGAGGTCCCTGCTTGAGCTATTAAGATTGAGTCCTAGATCGTGAAGATCTGGTCATTAGATCAAAAATTATTAAGGGTGGTCCGTTTTTTTATTATGCGCATTGTACAACGATTCCACGCCGATAAGAGATTTTATGTGTTTCAATTTTTCTGTCCATCCTAATACAGGATGATTATAAACTAAATTTATAAACGTATGAGTATAAGCGTACGCAGATAATTTGGGAAAACTGCATAGAGATATAGATTTTGCATATAATGAGGTGAAAAATAGATTTATCATATAGATACTACAGGAATTCGCTTAAAAAACTAATAAAAATGACTATTCATGCAGCTCTGTTTACAATGGCAGGACACTGACATCTTCACGGCTAAATCGAATGAAGTTGGGGGGGATATATTTAACAGGGTGGAAAAACGGTGGCGGCGTTAGGCGGAGATGAAGAAAAAATTATAACTTCATAAATTTTCATCTTGTAAGCGATTTAGTTGTACTGAACATACGCGAAAAACAACGAGATGAAAAAAGAAAGCACAGTGATTTGTTTCTTGCCCGTTTAAACTTTGTCCAGCATTCGTACTGAAATAACGTTTCACTGTGAGACACGTTCCGATTTAAAGAAATGTGTTGCAAATTGAAAGTATCAACATTTAAAAATCAAGGAAATAAAATATTTAATAATTCAAGACGAAAGCATCAATAATTTTATCAGTACTTAAAGTTGAAAAAAAAATCAGCAAATAATTCAAAGCATTAATTTGATTCTAAAAGAGAGCTAATAATTAAAAATAAACATGTACAATAAAGAAAATATATTGTATTAAAGAATCATTTAAAAAAGAATTATTTGGAAAAGAATATTTTAAACAGCCTCATTATATTTTACTAAACTGAGTAGCAGAAAAATGAAAACAATTAAACTAGGTAACATTGGAAATAATAAAAAAAAACTTTTTACAAGCAATAAGAAATAAAAAAAGTTACTTTCAATGTTTGTCATTAGGAAATTTTTCTGGACAAAAATGAAACAAATCATTTTTGTATGCTTTAAATGCATACTTCGTTGACACATCTAATTAATTTTCCAGAATTAATAATACAGTCTAATTTCTTTTAATTATATTTTTCAATTTCTTAATTTTTTTGTTTTTTGTTTTTATCCTTTGCAAAGAATATTTTTACTTGATTATTTGAATAATCCCCTCCTACAAATCTTTGAATTCTTTTTCTTATTTGTTTATTAAGTATATTTTTTGTGATTAGGAATGTACAAAATAAAAAGAAAGAATAAATAAATAAATAAAAAATCGGTCACACATAACAAGTTGTAAATAACATAATAATTTATAAAACGCTTAGTCAAAGCAATTACATATGAGTACATAACGGTGATTGTAAAAAAAATTACTTCTGTCTTCAGTAGGATAAATAAATAAGTAAAATGAAAATAAAAACTTCTTGTTTTAAACAATGCATGAATACAAATAATCATCGATGAAAAAAACACCTCTTTTTTCATTTTTAGTAACGCAGATGAATATCATTATCAGTTTTGAGAAAAATTATTAAACATTACTAAATTATTAAAAATCATAGTAAAGAATCATAGAACAGGAATTATCCATCATTAAGGAATCATAGCTTTTAGAAAGAGAACTAGTTTATATACATTTAAGAAACTTGTACGAGCAATAAAAAAAGTTCAAAGTTCAAACTTTTTGAATAGTAACAATTTTAAAAATATTTCTTATTCACAACAAATAAGCAACGATATTAAGATAAAAGTTCATTTTTTATTCAGGTTTTACAAACTTTACTTACAGATTTGTCAATGAAAAAATGGTTTTCAAATCTTGAATAAATAAAAAAATATTTGTTTTTAGATTTGCTGTAGTTCAAAGGGGAGCTAAACTTTAAAAATTTTTTGAAAACATAAGAGACAACAATGTTAACTCTATTACCACATTCGCTTAAGTACTTGATCACCACTAATGATAAGCCACATTTTCAAATTGATCTGCTTTTGGAGTATAAGGCCACAATTTCCATGTATGCAATAACATATTTCTGTGTAGTTGTTATTTAGTGGAAATTCTGGAAACCTGTCTAATACGTATGTGGAAACAATACTTAGAAACAATTTGATGAGTTAAATTTTATAAAAATGAGGCTAATCACAATAGTGCTTCAAGTACTTCAATTGTGTTTGCAATAAAAATATAATGAGTTAATAATTAATAAAGCAAACTTAATAGTAGTTATTCTTATATTTCATGACTACTTTTTAGAGTAATATTTTAGAATGTTTTTTTCTCCACTTTTTAGAACATATTTAGTTCTAAGCTCCTTATCTCGAAAACTCGCTATTTCGAAAATCTTTTAGTGTCCCTTTCAACTTTGAGATATCGAGAGTTTACTGTATTTGGAAGGAAAAAAAATTTTTTAAACGAAATTATTGCATTATTTCTGTGATAAATATTTTTTTTTACAAATATGTGAAATATAAATTTTTAAACAAAAAAAAAACTTTTTACTTACATAGCCTGTTGACGAATCAGCTCTTTATGAACCTGTAGCCGACATTGGATGTATTGAACAGCTTTTGATGCATCGCTGAGAATTAATAGAACGTTTTGACGAGAGAAAAAAAAAGCATGACACTGGAAATTTGAGCATTGAAAGGAAAAATTCCATTCATCACGCAACTCGTAGTAAAGCCTTTCATTGGTCAATTCACTCTGGGATTAAAAGCCTAACCAATGATGATTTACTTTTCAAGAGCCACTCCCTTCATTCCGGAATGAAAACTGGATCTTTTTTTTTCTTTTTCAATTCTTTTACAATACGAGTTTCGGGAATCATAAAATTGTTCAAACATTTTTTACCTCCCTGACCGGGATAAGTCATTTGATAAACGATTGGAATAATGGACATTGTCCATTTTTAATTTATTTTACTGTACTCTTTAATTTAGCTTTGGAGAAATGACCAGGATAATTTTATATCATTAGTTGAGGAACGATTTTCATTTTATTTGATGGTTTCTATTTGCAAATTAAATTGCATATCCAAAATAACTGATGCAAATTATTTAATATTAATTCAATGTAAATTGGTATCCCTGGACGATTGAGCAAGTACGGAGCAAGGTGCACTGAAAGTCCTGCGATATGAAAGGGAGGAATCAGCTCAGGCACTGTCCATGTCATTTGATAGGGGTTAAAATCATAATAATATGGCATAACGTGGCATTCGAAGTCAAAATAACATAGTTAGAAAAAGACAGAGCTCTGAAAAATGGTAATAGGTGCATGGACGAGATGGGGAAAACTGCAAAATTTTCACTAAATTTCTTTTTACATATTTCGTCAGCATTCTCATTTGAAAGTTATTTCTTAAAAGCATGAGCATGGTTCTGGTTCAAACGGCAAAATGTCTGATTAGTGTAGCTCGTCTAGTGCAACATTAATAAATCAAACCATATGAGATATTAATAAACCTTGTACGTCTATGATATTCAACTTTTCGAATATCATATGTAAAATTTAGTTAAATTAACTATTTCGAATTTTTTTTTTATTGACCTTACTTTTTGGTAACTACATCATCCCAAAGATACCCTCAACGTTTTAATTTGAATTTCGCCTCATAAATAATGCCTTAGTATGATTTGATTCAATTATTACTGTATTACTGGAGCTACTTATTGAGCTATTAGCGACAGTTTGAAATGATTTGATGACATTACTGGCGAACATTGCTTAAAATTGTTTTTAATGACTTTGGGTAATTTCCTCCGCAGCAAATATATGTTAGTTTCTTTCCACTATGGCCAGTAGTTAAGTTTTTAACATCCCTTCACCAAAAATAATATTTTTTAGCTTTAAAACTATACTTTGTTTTTTTCTCCAAGTTGTATACAAATCGGAAGCTTTTCTTAAATGACTTGGTGCATTGTCCATAACTAAAACAGCACCTTATTCAAGTTCGAAAAGAATCTCAGCGAACCACTTCTCAAAACACGACGTCTTTGTTTTTATTTGATTTAAAAATTGGAAAATCATCTTTCAAAGAATCGCTACCAATGTGTGTAATGTGGTTCAGGGGATACAGTGTTCTCCTTCCATTGAGGGGAACCAGGTTCGAATCCCAGCGATGGTCGATCGATGCGAATTTCGCATCCGGCTTGCACCGACCTCAGTGTTGACGTAAAAATATTCTCAGTAGTAGACGGATCATGGGTTAGAGTCCCCTTACCGCCAGGCTAACCATGGGAAGTTTTCGTGGTTTCCCTTTCCATGTAACGCAAATGCGGGTTAGTCCCATTAAAAAGCTCTCCACGGAGGCAGATTCCTCCTAATACTTGATCCAAGGGATTGGGTTAGAAATTTAAGGCTAAAGAGTTAGACATTAGTCGACGAATAAAATGAAATTTGTGTAGTGATCAGCCTTTGACGGATGGAACTTTCAAACCCGTAGAAAAATCATATAAAAGCTTCTTTAGATGTTTTTGAAGTTGTATCTGTCAACACTTCATAAAGCGTATGACCGACAAGTAACCAAGTTTCATCCACATCTAAAGTCTCTGTTGTCTCATTGTTTTCTTAGATCGCAGATACCTCCATAAAATTCTTCTCTTTCAACCACCTCTCTTTAGATGTTTGTCTTTTTAATAGATATTAAAAAGCTTTAAAACAGGAAAATTGGGATGCATTCATCTTCTCTCGGAAAAAAGTAATCATGCATTCATTCTTATTGCATTTCTGTCAATATTTTCAAGGGCCTTGGTTTTTTTTCTTTTTCGGTGAATGCATAACGCTTCCTAATTTCACGGATGACATTAAAAACAGAAGCTCTACATATCGCAGTAGCACGGTGTCCGGCTACATCCGATATTAGGAGGTCAGGATTTGAGATTACAATTCAACTTTATAACTGTTTAAAATCATTTCTTTTTCCGCTTTCTTAATGCGTAATTTTTTTTCTGAAGCTTGCTTTTTTACATGACTAAACGCTGAACTGTTTTCGTTCTTCATAGTTGTAAAAGTTAGATGTGAATACTAATTGTGAGAACGTATTTAATTCTGAACGATAAATTAAAAAAGAGATTTAAGATAAAGAGGTTTGTTAAACCTTTTTATGTATTATATATAAATTCATTGCTTGATGCATACCTGCCAACTTTTACGCATTTGGCGTAAAATTTTATTTTTATATTTAAAGTTTTAGTAAATATATACTACTTTTTCTTTTATGAACTTAATTTTTAAATGACTTTGATCACCACTATTCTTAAAAAAAATTAAGCATATATATTAATATGTGTGCATTCATGGTTGTTAAGTTAAGATTTTTCTAATACAACGTATTTCTTTGCTTAAAATAGAAATTTTAATTCCGTTTTACTACCACTGGGAGAAATCATAATGGAAGGAATTAAAAGTTGGCAGGTATGTTGATGTCATAATCAATACATAAGAAGCAAGCGTGTTGCATGCATAAAGATCATAATGCATGTTAAACAAACCTAATGAGAAAACATTAAATGAATTATGTATTTTCATTTATCAATCAACAATCTTAATTTTCGCTTTAGAAGTACGAAATTAAGAAGTTTAGAAAATCTTGTATCGAGTTGTCTCTATTATTTCTGAAATTCAGAAATTTTAGAAAACCTTACTTCAGTAATGCAAAATTAAATTAAATCGCAATGGAAATTAAAGGAATTTTTAAAAATCTTGCATCAAGTATGCAAAACTAAGAAATTTTCTAATGAAAGCTTAGGAAATCTATATAACCCTTTTTTTTTCTTTTTTACTCATTCTTAAAATTTACCACGAAAATTTACTTGGAAATTTACCATTTTCGGGAACTTTGAAATGTAATTAGATTGAAATGTATACAATTTTTATTTATTCCCCGATATAAATTCACTTTCTGATTCGATGCATCAGTAAACATGTTAGAAATCGTTCCATCGAAAAATATAAATGAATTACCTATTTTCGGCTATTGATTAACAATCTGCATCAAGTATGCAAGAAGTGTAGACATTACGAACATGGTATAACACGCACAAAAACAATAAACCATCTGAGATTTTGTTTTTATCGCCTTTGAACGCATCTCTCATAGAATGTGGGTGTGATTCCCAAGCCCCCGGGGACCTGGGGTCCCCTTCTAATTACATCCATCCATTTGTTGTCATGGTCACCTGTACAAAAATTGCTGCCGAAACTGTTTAGTAAGGTTCATGAATCCTTTGCAAGACACGTCTGTCTGTTTTATCTGTATTTTTTAGATGAAGGTGGGTTTCGAAAAAGGTATGAAAAATGGCTAACTGCTCCAAATTTTCACGTTTCTGAAATTCTTTATTTCGTAAATCATTTTTTATGGGATTTTCTTTCTTATTCGTGATATTTATATCACCTTTTTGTATTAAATAAGCGCTGTTTAAGGTGCTCGACTTTAGGATTCAATTCAACTTTGTTTTATTGCGCTAAAACCATAAGACTTGGAAACTTGAAATTATGAAGATGTGTAGAAAAATATACATAGTCTGATTTAGTGAAGGAAAAAAAAAGAGAAATTTATTAGGTCGAGAATTAACAATTAAAAAAAACTAAAAAAAAAATCTTGTGAACAATTAAATTACTTTAGTTTTATATCTTTTAATTTTTTCATATACTCTGTCAAAAAAAAAATTTTTTTTCACAGATGATAATTTTTCAAATCCAGATAATAGCTCATTTCGTTACAATCAGCATGTTAGAGAAATGTAATACATAAAATTGAAATAATGATCTATTTCATTAACAAAATGTTAAGTGTTAAATGTTCCTTAGCAAAATGTTCATTAACAAATGGAAAGTATAAACAAAACAGAATTAAGAAACAGATATGAATGACGGTAAGCAATTGTAGGAGTTCTCGTGCGAATCTTCCTAGTTTATATAAATAGAGGTTACATGCTTGAAAACTTCAACTTGAACAATACTTGTTTACGATCGTTTATCAAATGCTCAGTTGTCAGAGCTTTCTAGGAATAGCATGTTATTTTTTAAACTGTTGTGAGTTTATAATAGTTATTCATAACAGTTGTGGGCTTGTAATAGTCATAATTCATAATTGTTGTGAGTTTGTAACAATCATTCATAACACTTGAGTTAAGATTTATCCCGTTTCAGCCAGCTGAGTTTTAGCTTAAGAAGTTTGCACTAAATATCAATCTAAATACTAAAAATGTAATGTAATATAAAAATATATGTCAGAAGTCTTGCAAAAATAATAAGTGTTTGTAATCAAATAAAATTTTTTTTTATGTTTGAAAGGTAAACTCTACATTGCCGTAAAAATCTGCAAATATTCAATGTTTATAATGATTTAAACGAAAAAATCGTCAACTTTGATTATGCCGCCAAGAGACCGATTTTTTCATATAGCTTTTTAAATACAGTATTTTTAAAAATGTACTTAGGCTTTTTGACCGTTTAAAGGTGCAGAAAACTATTTACAGCAAGAAGGCATCTAGATTAACGCTGGACTCAAGTTCGTGAGAACGGGGGTTCGAATCCAACCAGCTGAAGACTTCCCGTGTAGTAAATGGTGACTGGTGCACGTTGAATCTGTTGGGTTACCGAGTCCTCCATGTTTCTATAACAAATCATACCTCTGGGAGCACTAAATTGGCGAGTGATCGTTCTCTGGTTCATGTCAAAATTGCGATCTGTGGAT